TAAGGTTGAAGAAACCGGGGAAATGAACAATAAAATTAAATAGTCAAATTAAAATAAAATGTAAAAATTATCGGCGCTTTCAGTTAGTCGGGTGGAAATAAATTCTTTTTATTGTTATTATTTTATTTATTTATTTGGTAACGGCTATTTTGTTTTGTGTTTATTAAGTAAATAAATAAATCATATTCTAAAAAAAATAATTGAAATTATCGTCACCCTGCAGACCAAAAAATACCAATTTATCTTTTTATTTTTATTTTATTTATGCCTTTTTTTTTACATTTAAATTCAGCTTTCCTTTCTGTTTTGACTAGCCTCCGAAATTTTAAAATTCAATGTCCATGTATGAGATTTTGCAATGCATATTTGTAAAATTCATTTCGAAACTGTCATTTTTGATGTTTTAAGATTTAGTCTCAATTCCATTAAAAAAATAAGAAGGAAAATAAAAGTCAAATTAAGAGTATTGACCTGACACTGATAAAATTTTACAAAATTATCTTAATCTTATTATCTATTTTGTTATCTACTTATTATCTATTTTGTTTAAGTATAAAACATTTATGCTAAAAAACTTAGATTTCTCAGTATAAAAGTTTTTATAATTAATTTTTTAAGCTATTCAATGGAAACGTTTTGTTTTAAAAATATCTTTGTATAAAAAATTAAAACTCCTGGCGTTTTGTAGAAAATATTTTTCTTCAAAAAATTAATGGTTTTCGTTATTATAAGCCGTCTATAAATAACGTCACTTTTTTTTCCAATATTTTTGACAGCTCCCTCTCCTTCGTCGAGTAGTGTCACACTTTCACCGTACTACAAACCCCTCCTTGACATCTGTCACGCTACATTATAGAAACATATGCCAGCATTTCAGGAACAAAGCACATGTTAAAGATCAAGTTCAGTATTTTTTTTAAAAAACTCTAACTATGTGTTTTAATGTCATTTGTGGGCCCAACAATCATTTGATGTGTTAATATAATGACGTTACAATTTTTATGAAGAGAGAAAAAAGAATGTCCTTCGACCTTCCAATAAACAGCGGGCACGTGTCGCAAGAGTGTGCCACCTAGTGGTGATGGAAGGTCTAGCATTTGGCAGTGTGAGAGTTGCATTAGAAAAATCTGTTCCTAGCAAAGCGAGATTATGTCCGACCTCTCTGACCTTAAAAGAGACCTGATAATCGAAGCTCGCCTCGCTGGAGCGTCCGTATCCAGAATAGCGGGCCTTGTGGGTGTTTCAAGGACCACTGTATCAAGGACTCTGTCGGCATACACAAAGTTGGGTAAGGTGTATTCTGCGAAGCGCAACAGTGGCAGGAAGTCGAAGTTGTCGGACAGCGATAGACGGGTGTTGAAGAAGATAGTCACTCGAAAACGCAAGACTACACAACCAGTGATAACGTCCAAGATGAATACCCATCTTCAGAATCCTGTATCCATGACAACTATTCAACTGGAGTTGCATGCTGCTATCATTCATGGCAGAGTAGCTATTCCAAAACAGTTAATTTCAACGAGGAATGCTTTGAAGAGACAACAGTGGTGCCAAGACCACCTAAAATTGACACAACTGCAGTGGGAACAAGTAATCTCGTCTGATGAATCCACTTTTACACTATTTCAGACCACCGGACGTGTGTTCGTGTGGCGAACGCCGGCAGAAGGATTTCATGTTGACTGCCTGGTTCCAACCTTTAAACATGGAGGTGATTCTGTGATGGTGTGGACAACGAAAGGCCCGTGGATTTGGGTCTCTCGTTGTCTTGAGGGGGGTGGTCAAAAGTGACCATTATCGAAGCATTCTCGCAGATCATCTTTACACTATGCTTCGTACTCTCTTTCCGGGAGAGTTTCCTGTGTTCAAAGATGACAACGCCCCTCTTCACACGTCTAACTGCGTTATGGTTAAATGAGCGTAATTATGAAGTGGAACATCTAACGTGGTGTCCTCAGTCCCTGATCTCAATATCATTGAGCCTTTGTGGTGTTTTTTTAGAGAAAAAAATCCATTCTCGGTTTCCTCCTACGCTCACACTCTCTGAACTCGAGACGGCCCTGGAAAAGGAATGGCTGCAAATTCCGACGAACTTTGTTCAAGACCTTTATTTGTCAATCCTACGTCGAATGCAAGTTGTCATTCAGGTCAAAGGTGGCCCAACTCCTTATTAATAAAAAATTTTCATGTTTTCACAGGTGTTCCTATTATTTTGTCCTATACCTGTATTTCTCTAATACAATGAGAAAGAAAGACCTCGTTTCTTTTTCGAGTTGGCAATATGGAAGTGAAATATCATTCGTGGGAGTTGTCTCGATCATGAAAGCGTAAACGTACATGTTTACAAATTTCCGAATGAAATTTTTTTGTCTCTCGCATGAACAACGAAAATCTGAGCGAAAAGAGTTAAAAGGTTAGAAGCGAAAAGTTCATATCAACAAATAAAATTTTCTACATTATGTTTCAATTATGCTTTTGCGGGTTCAATAATAATAATTTTATTCATTGAAAAATTAGCATTCATCGTACTGTTATGCTTTCAAAGCAAAATAAAGTAAAGAAATACATAAATAAAAAGCTTGCTTGGAGAGCAGAAGGAGAATGCGTAGGAAACGCGCCGTCATACCTGTTTTTTTTTTCTATAAGCATAGTAATTTTTCGTTTGTGTGTCATTTATTTCCATTTTTTCAATAACTTATTATTGACAAAAACTAAATTTTTTTTAAAGACGAATTAATTTTAAAGAATTTAAGAATTGATTTGAATTCTTCAGATTTTACTCTAGAGCACATTTCAAATGGGTTTAACTGAGTAGCAAGCGAAGTGAGCATGGTTTGCAAAGCAAACTATATGTGTTGAGGTGCAGCAGTGTAGTATAAAAACATTTCATCCTCTTATTTTAAATGTTCTTATTTTAATCAAAATGTGGGCTTTTACACTTCTTTGCTATCCCCTACCGCTCTTTTGTCAGCAACTGTCACAATTTCATGATTCCCCTCTAAGAGGGACAATATTTATGAACGGACCTTAAACACAGCTAGAAAAAAATTATAAAATGTGCATTGCAGTAATTGATAAAAAATTTTTCAATTATAGTTTTGTTGACAATTTCATCACAGACGAAATCTATAACCTATGACATTTATCGTAAGGTTGAAGAAACCGGGGCAATTGCCCAGATTGCCTATAGAACTAAAGCTTCTAAGCTTGAGTTTTGAAAGAAGGCAGTAGTCTTCGTAGATCCTTATTAAAAGCAAAATTAAAAAGAAAGATATATTAAAACCTTTTAACATAATTATTAAAGCAAGAGGACAATTGTTTGAAATTAATTTTCTGTTCCTAGTAATTGTCATTACGCACATTCTCTTAAGACATTGTAATGTGATTTTTATAACTCTTCCAGAAAGCGCCAAAACAGAAACTAATTTCTATTATATATAGTTTGTAGATAAATAGCCTGGTTATAGGGACGTCGGGCTCATGTTAGTGACTTCGAATCCCACCGGCCGAAAAGTCTCCGCGTATTAAATGGTGACTGATACATGTAAAATCTGCCTGTGTCACAAAGTCCTTGAGGTTCCCATAGCAAATCAATTCCTCTGAGGGTATTGAATTGGGGATTAAAAGTTGTTGAACATCATCCGCTGTCTTGGGAGTGGTTGCACTTAACAATGAGCTCCGTAGTAATAAGTCTAATATAAAATAAAATTTGAAAAAATGATGGAAAATCTTGAAGATTACTCGTGGACCTTTCTTTCATTGTTCAAATACGAGTAGAAATTGAAAAAAAAAATGAAAACGAAACCCGAATAAAAAAATAAAAAAAATTCTGTGAAAGAATAAACTACTTTGATTGATAATTTTACTGCGTTTGGTTCACGCACTCTCGATTACCATCGATGGAGAACCTGATTGGTGAAATATAAAAGTTCACCAATCAAGTGTTCCTTTTCTTGGAGGGTGATCCGAATTGTGTGAATCAAATGCAAGAAGAATGGTTCCTTTTTTTGTTTACTGAGTTCTGACGCTCGTTAGTGAAACAGTAAAAACGAAAACCTTTTTTTTGACTATTGCAATATGCAAGCTAAAAGTTAGTATCCGTAGCAAGTAATGTTTTAACATTAGTACTCTGCTCATGTCTTTCGATTAGATATGGCTGCGCTCATCAGAACGTCGTGCGTTGTCCCTTCTTCAAAGGTAAACAAACAGATTATCAATTTTCGAATTACTATTAATTTTGAATTACTCGTCCTGATATTTATTTTCAACTGTAAATATAACCAGTTCGATTTCTGGTGTACAATGTACACAATACGTCTTGATTTCATTTTTTCTTATGCAATATACTAAAGCTAAATTGAATAAATGATAGGATGAATTTCTTATTAAATTTAGTCACGAGGCTTTTTTAACGTGTTTATGAGTAAATCTCTTTAATTGGGTTTGTTAAAATAGTTTTTTTTTTAAAATTCTGTAATGTTTTTTATAAGTAGTTCCTCAACTTGATTCCTTACTTTACCGGCTTTGTTGTTCGATATTTTTCTGCGGGTGTACAGTTAAAATTTCTGCACTTGCTTGTAAAACTTTTACAAAAATATAAATTAATAATGTTTTGTTATTTATTGAGTAAAGTTACCTTGTTCCAACCTAGTTAGTAACTACCAATTAAAAACAGGTTTTATTTTTCTTGATTCTTTGTGTATTCTGTTCTATATCGTTTCTACCAAAAAGAACGCAAAATTTCGACCCATATCTTAAATTTACAATGGGAAAAGTAATTGTAGTATTAACAATAATAGTGTTGTATTAACATTTGAAATCACACGGAAAATGTACTCATCTTACTGAACATGTAATGGCTCTTGCTTAATTATAAATAATTTATGCTATATAATTTTATGGCCTTTTTATGTAAACTGTTTTTTATATCTTCTTAATAATGCTAGTGCTAATCGTGGGGCGGATTAATCGTACGCGGAGCCCTAGGCCATTCAAATTTTTGGGGCCCTTAGATTTAATTTTTTCCTCCTATATTTTTTATTTATCCGAATACAAAAGTATTTATCTATCTTTTCACTAATTTTCTGGTTGTAAAATTGTCTTTTCATATTAGTTCTATAATTAAAATGGTTGAAAGTATGAATATCATAGTGAATACAAGCATATATGGGCCATTCTCCACTGTAAACATTCTAAACCTCAATTTTTACCTTACTTGTACATATTTTTAATTTATTCAATAATAAAGTACATAGGTTAAATCTTAAAAAATGAGATACAATAATAGTTATATTTAAATTTTTATTATGGAATCAATTCTTAAAATTTAGCATTGTACTTTTTAAGTTTTCTTGTTATAATCAACATATTTACATTTATTTCCTTAGCTGAAAAAATATTATAGCATTTCAATTTTCTTCTTTTTTTTCCTTATATCTATATAATGCTCTTATTTAAAAATAAATTAAAAATTTAAAAATCATATTAAAATTATGTAAAAAATAAAAATTTATTTGAGCAAAAATTGGTTGTCCCGTGCATAACACTAAAACATGATCATTTTTATTTTTCTCATTTATTTTTAGGACGAAACAGAAACTGCTTCAATTTTACTTTCTTTCTCTTAGTACCGACTTATATTACAAAGGAAGTTCCTCTAAGTTTAATATTAGATAAAAAAATTAGCACTTGTTTTCATGTCCCGTGCATAACTTAGATTTCTCTAAAAATTGGGAAGACCAAAAACTCCAAGAGCATTTATAACTGTAGGTGGCTGAGTAACTTTAACAACTTCCTCATGTTGTAAAACACTTTATCTTCCCGTTTAGGCCATTTCCAATATTTTCTAGGCTTTTCCATGGCAGAAACTTCAATATCATTTCCCAGCACTTGCGTAACTTCTCCAGCATATAAACTATTATCAGATTTCACAACAACCCAATTAGCTCCAATACTTTTTGTGGTGTTAATTGCCCTGGTATTAAGATTTCTTTTTATTGGTGCTACAACATTTTTATAAAATTTTAAACCAGAAGGCGAATATGTAATTCCATGCATTTTAGAAATTCCTGGTATTACTCTTGCGTTGGCCCACATATTATTATCTCTGTTTATATCTTAATCTAAAAATAGCATCACTGTAGTAGGTGGCATAGCTTTTTTTACAACATTTACAAAATCTTCCGCAGACTGCACAATTGGAACTGTCTTAACTGCCTATAACTCTCCTGAACTGTTTTAAAGTGTCCAAAACCTTATTGGTAAAAGATAAAAATTCTATATGTGAAATTATTGTGCAAATAATAATTACATACATTAATAAATATTTTATATTTTTTATACAATTTACTTTAACTTATTAAAGGAAAATAATATAATATAATAGGAAAAAGATTAATAACTTTTGAATCTGCACAATTCATTGAATAAAAAAAGTGAGTACCTTATCCTTTAAATATGCTTTTAGTACTTATAAATTATGTTTTTGCATAAGGATAAATACAATATTTAAAGGAATAATAATTTTTTTAACGAAACAAAAACTTGTCTTCATTTTGTTCCTTGTTCAAAAATTAATCTTTTATTTTTCACATTATTTTTTTAAAATTTTAATATAATTTGATCCATAGAGTTTTGGACAGGACAGTTTAAACCGTGGATTAATCCTTTCTTTCCTAAACCTTGCCAACTCTGATGCTTCATTCAGATATGTCACCAAATAATATTTCTTAATTTAATTTTCTCACCATTCTTCCAAACTAACTTCATCTTTCATTCCTGGTGCTGTTAAAAACATATCTGGACGGAAAAAAATTTATCGTACTAAATTAGGTGACTCTTCATCACTAATAGTATTTTTCTGACTAGCTTACATGTTTAAGTCAAAATTTGTAGCAATTGCAGAAGCTACTGTTTTTTTTTTTTTTTTGGTTGGAGATTTAGGTAAAGATTTTAATGATTTTCTCATGAAAGCTTGATAAATCTTGTAGGTATTTTCAATTTGCCTTCTTGATGGTGTATTATTCCTAAACTCTGTTTTCTTTCCTTGGTGATACAGTTGTAATTATCCTTTATAATGATTTATAAAACTTCTAATCCAGATCACCAAACTAAATTCAAACTATGAATTAGTGTTGCCACTTCAAAATATACATAATTAAATCAAGTGTATGCTTCCGTGTGTAATAAATTGCAGACATGTCCCGTGCATAACATTAGGTATGTCCCGTGCATAACACAAATAAAATAAATTTAGAATTTTATCAAATAATGTATTTGGAAAACATCCAGCATAATTTAATAGAAGTAATATTTATCAGCTAAGAAAAAAATATAATGACAATATACAAGTTTTAAATTCACAGAGTTTATGAAAAATAGAAGTCAGGGTAGAAATTAATCTTTTTTCTGAGTCCCGTGCATAACGACTATATTAAATCCCTTTTTTAGTATTTAAACTTTAATTTTTGATTTGTTTTCAATGCAGTCTTTAAGAAACAGACTTGTTTTGAATTGAATTGTGAAAAAAAAATTAATTACCCCATTATTTTACTATTTTTATATACTTCAAAGGCCTGCAAATGTCCTGTGCATAACAGGAGAATGGCCCATATATATAATAGTGAATGTATAAATATAATAATATATAATATGCAAAAATGAAACTGATTTGTTATGCACCTGCATTTGTTTTTTAGGACCATTCAAATTCAATCTTAAAAAACCGAAATTTAATAATTTAATTTCCTTAGGAAATGTTACGTAGAGAAACAAAACATTAATAAAACATTCTTTATGTATAATCTCCTCTTATCTACCTAATTCTAATTCTAGTGTCACAGCATCAAATATACACCTTCAATACAATCTCTTTGTTTTTCTGTTCTATGAAATTACAAATGTGTCAAATACATTAATATAGTGTCATATATCCACGCCCAATATAATCTCAGTATTTTTCAATTCTCTGTTTACTCCTTTTAAATCACCTTAATATATAGTTTAAAACCAGATTATTATCAGTTATCATCAAACCTCTAAAAATGAAAAAAAATTCACTGAGAAGCAGGTGCAGACGTATAACAAATCAGTTCTATGTAAATATGTATTTCTCGTGAATATATTTATTCAATTTGTTAGAGTTATTTCAATTCAATTGACTGATTAATTTTCTTTTATGTAAAATTATTTAGATGCATTTGAGACAAATATATGGAAGATGTTCTGCCTTTCAACTTCTAAAGCAAAATTACCCATCTGTATCACAGGTACAATCCATCAGCTTTGTTTCCTTTATATATTTTATCATTTTTAATTCTCAATATATGCATTTGATCGATTGATTTGTTCAAAATATCTATTTCTACTTTCTATTTTAAAGACATGCTGCTATTCTGCTCCTCAAAGAAAAGGTTTTATTTCTCAGATTGTTGACAACATCAAAGAGGATTTGAACAGAAACAAAGAGATGAAGGTGATAAAAATAAATAATTTATATTTTTGTATAAGATCAATTCAGTAATTTTTTTCTCTTTAGTTTTTCTTATTAGGTTGATTTGAAAGAAATTTTGGAAAGCCTTCAAACTTTCTGAATTATGCCAACTTTTTAAATGTATTAAAGATTTCTAAGAAATAGTTTCGAGCCACATACCAAGTTTTTCATCTAACATATCTGTAAATGATTATGTGAATAAAAAAGCATTTTAAATGATTGAAAAATAACTGAAGAGTGATTATATTCTGTTAATCGAAATTTTACATTTTGTGATTAATAAAGAGTGGAATTAGTAGTAGTTTTGATTGTCTAAAAGGAGATAATTAAGAGAATTTCACTGATTTATTTTTGTTAAGTTATAAATTCTATGAATTTTACTAAGTTATTTTGTTTTTAAAACATTATTAAGCTTATGAATAATAATTTATTTATTATGAATATTTTTTGTGTCCGAAAAATATAATTTGCTCAAAACTGCAGTCTTTGTTGCAGAACAATTTGGTCATTTAGGGTGAAAATTTTATATGCTGTTAATCTTTTTTGTTTCATTATATAGGAATTTATATACATTTGATANATGAATATTTTTTGTGTCCGAAAAATAGAATTTGCTCAAAACTGCAGTCTTTGTTGCAGAACAATTTCGTCATTTAGGGTGAAAATTTTATATGCTATTAATCTTTTTTGTTTCATTATATAGGAATTTATATGCATTTGATATTAAAATAATTAAGTCTGCCCTTTTTATTTGAAAATTTAGTGCCCAAAATAAAATTATTGGTCATTTAAAAAAATTGTAAGAATTTAACTATTCAATTTTTTTACAATGCACACGGTTATTTGTAATTAAATTTAATAAAGTTTGAGTGATTTTGTAGTTAAATTAAATATGATTAAAATATTTATTATACATACATATATATATATATCTATATATATATATATGCCTGGAAAGTCATGAATTTCGGTATTGAACAAAATTTGTCATGCCATGTCATGATTTTTACTATTTTTAAAAAAATCATGGAGAGTCATGGGGGGTTTAGGTCAACGAAAAATCTAATTTTTAGAATGGAATATACCCCCTTCCCCTATTTCAGGAGTATTTCTTTCCTTTCCAAGAAAAGCATCTTTAGAATATACTTCTGCAGGAGAAAAAAGAATAATTTGCTTTTGTATTTTTTTCAGCTATTTTATTGCTTTAACTCTTTCTTTACTTTGTCTTTAAAATTTAAAATCTATAAATATGCAGAGCATAACAGTTTTGGTTATACCTATCATTTCAATTAATGTTATTAGAATGCTTTTTTAAATTTATTGTTGTGTTTTTGTCATGAAAAGTTATGAATTTAAAAATTTAAAATTTTGCAGTTACCATATATATATTAATATATTATATTCAATAAGGCTAGAATATTTGTAAGTAAATTGTTTAAGAAAGTTAATTTGGTTAAGAAGGTTAATTTGTTGCAGAACATTAGATATAATTCTGATTCAAGTTTTTTTTTTTTTTTTATCTAACTTAAATTTTTATGTATTACTAACAATAGGATCTGATAGCAATCTATTATTAGTGATCAGAGGCTGTAAATTTAAAAAAGTAACATTTTGTAAAGTTGTATATTGACTCTTATCACAACTTTGTTTATTCATATTCAATGTTATTTTCTCCATTAAGTTATTAATTTTTATTTATTATGAATTATTATTGAAGATTAATATTTTTCTGATAAGGAAAACCTAAAAAAATTTAGAGAAGAAGCAGAGAAATTAGAGAAATCTGAAGCTCTTCAAAATGCAAGGAAAAAATATGTGAGTCAATCAAGTTTTCAAATGTTATGCAAATGTTTGTTGAAATTGATTGAATGTTTATTGTTTTTATTTCTGTTTTAGAAACTAATAGAAAAAGAGACTTCTAAGAGTACCGAACAGATTAAGGAACAATTGGAAAGTCTTAAAGGTAAATTAAAAGAGGTAAGGTTGAACATACTGTGTTTTAAAGGATTAAATTTTTGAATTACTTACAGAATCGTGAAACTCTTGTAGTTATTTTTTTATAGGTATTTTGAATACAATAATCAAAAAAAAATTTTTTTTATCCATTATTGAATATCAGTAAAAATCTGTCATTGAGTAGTTAGTATTTATAGGAAATGAATTACATAGCAGAACCTCTTATCCGGAAACCGGAAAACCAGATAACCGGAATGAAATTCGGAACCGGAAATAAATTTTCTTCCATTAAAAAGAATTTTTTTCCTGCAAGATTTTGAGCCCATTTTGTTATTTAGAGCGTACGGCCTATCGAGTTGACGAAAGAACTGATTTAGAGGACGGATCAAAAGCCGTTTGTAGACGAATCTCACATAACCACACAGGGCTCGAAATTAACGGCGGTCCGTTGGTCCGTGACCACTAAAATCGGAGTTGGACCAGCATAAAATAATAAACAGTGGTCCACCGGACCACCATCCGCCGCAGCCGATCTCCGTTAAAAAAAAATAAAAAATTTTAATTTTATATAAAATTATAATTGAGAATATATTTTATAAAATAAGAGCCAAAAGGAATAATAAATGCTATGGTTGTAAGACTAATTATAAATAACTAAAGATTTAAACAAATTACCAATTTTTTTTTAATATTACTAAATGCTTTGTTTAAATCATCTTGATAATTCGTGCTAATTTCAGATGTTTTTCTCCTTTATTTTTTATTTTTATATTTTATGTCCTAAAACAATCATATTGTTTATTTTTGTTACATTATGATTATGTATAGTTTAATAATTTTGTGATTACTTCAAAATTGAGTAAAAATCATAGTTCTTGATTGCTAAAATATTCTTTTCTAATTAATCTTAGTAAGTAGTATAATTAATCTTATTTCCTTCTTAAATTCTAAGTATATTTATGCAACTTGTGTATTTGAGTTACTTAAAACTATTTTAGAGCTTATTCACAATTTTTAAAAATTTTTTTTTTATACAAAATTAATATTAATCAAAAAAATGCGATTTAAATCAAAAATTTATGATTTTTAAAAAAAAATCATGATTTTTTCAATCAAAAATTTTAATTTTTTTTTTATCTGCAGCTAATAGGAACGCGTAGACGGACCAGTAAAGTTTTGTGCTGACTAGTAAAATGTTTTAGTTACTGGTCCTATGGACCAGTAATTTTTTAAAAAAATTTCTACCCCTGGCACAAATAGCTTATATATGTTATTAATGTTAATAACAACATATATAAGCCTGTATATAATTTTTATTTCATAATTTCATTCCTTATTTAAATTTAAGTGTATTATTATTTATAATTTTTTATTATTTCTGAAAATATTTAAAAAAATTTTTTAGTTTCGTTTCATAAACATTAAAAAAACGGCATTTTGTAGCGATTCAGATAACCGGAAAAATCAGTTATCCCGAACCACGGTGGTCCCGATCGTTCCGGATAATCGGTTCTCTACTGTATTAATAAATTACTTTCTGAATATAAAAGCTGTTTTTAAAAATTTTATCTAACACGAAAAGTAAACCATCATAATTCAACAAGACTTATATTTTAAGTTTGAAGAAAAACTTATGTAACAGTATGGAATCTTTTACATAGTTTCATATGGTGATAACAAAATAAACAACTATGATGGTGAAAACAATATAAACGTCCATGATGGTGAAGTTTGGTAATTTATAAAATTGTTCAAAAAGGCTATTACTTAGATGCTCTTTTCCCCTGTGTGCGTTGTTTTGCAGAAACTATGTAGCTGATAAATGCTGTTCTTATGAATTTTAATTAGTATTTTTACATTGACAGCAGCCTTATAGTTTTAGCATAACAGGATTTTCACTATTATTTTTATAAAATGTCTTGAGAAGTATATTGTTTAAATAAAATTTATTATTTTTTACATGGTGCTCTAAAATTTAAGAGTTTGTATTTGGTCTTGAATATTTTTTTTTTGAGAATTTTTTATCTTCAATAGCTTTATTTATTAATTTTTTTTTCCATTTTTGTTTTAAGTGCTATATTTTTTAAAATTTTAAATGAATTATGCAACCTATCCATGTTCCTCCTTTATAAAAAAGTTTTTAAATTTTTTTATTTTTTTATGATAAAACTTATGGGGATGAAATGCCAAAAAGCAGCTATCATAAATTGGATTGAGTATCACAGTCATTCATTCTATTTCACTGTAAACAAAACTCTGAATTTTAAAGATTTACTTAAAAACAAAATTTAAAATTGTTTAGAAGCCAATAAAAACAAGATGTAATATTTAAAATTTTGTTGACTCTCTGTAATATGTTTTATTTGCATTTTTGCCAAATGTTATTAAAATTTCGGTTGAACTTTAGCAATTTTTTTTAGATTCGAAAATTTTTTCTACCAAATTAAGTCTTATTTGATCCATTTATTTCATATTATATTATAATTGCGCTGTATTTCTAGTTTATGAGTCTAAATAAAATATTTCCTTTTAAAACTAAATTTGCATTTTTAATTTCAACGTTATTTAGCTATTTGTCACTAGAATTTGCTAAGAAATTGTAATTGAGTAGTTTTTAAGTATTTAATATTATTTCATAATTATTGTGTTTTAGACCTGAAAATAAGCACCACTGCAACAAAAAAATTCGTTTAATGATAAAAGTACATCAATTTAGAAAGAGACTCAGAAAAGCAAATTTTTCATTAAAATGTCCAATTTCACCTTTCAAAATTTTAATCCTTCAGAATCTATCAATTTGTGGTGGAAAGATTCATGTGGAAGTAGGAATTCTTGCGCAATTCATATGTTTCAAAGTTGTAATTTACACATTAAATGTATTTTGCCTCAAATATTTTTTCATAAAGTTCTTTGAAGTCAGTATTTAAAACTAAATTTTGCCTTATATTTATATTATTTTTTGTTTTGATTTTCACGATGTATTATGTAAAAGCATGCTTTTTACGTTGTTCTATTCAACATTTTCACAATTCATTTCGGCATACTGGTGGTCCATCCATAGCGTGTGAAAGCACTAATCATTTTACATGTTTGATAAAATACTTGCGAGTCCGTATGTGCGTGTACTGAACTGCGTTTGGTGAGGTTATTGCCTTCTCTTGTGCAATCCTGTTGCAATTTGCAACATATTCTCAATTTCAGACTTCCTTTTCCACTCTCTGATGTCGAACCGAAAAATCTCTCGATCATTTTATAACGGCTAATATAATCAAGAAAAGAGTTCTTCGTCTGAAGCTAATTATTTTCTCATGATCATCTAAAGTCTTTAAAAATTATTTTGCATTTTGTTACTGTATATAGTGCTTAAAAATTTTTTTTGAGTGCTTGAAAAGTACTTGAAAGGTGCTTATTTTTTGTTGAAAGATTTAGCTACGCTCCCTGTAATAGTACTAGAGAGCAATGTCGTAGATGGCCCGAAAAAATTCTGCCAGAGGGATGAAGAGAACCTATCGATATCGGTCAATGATTACCGCCTCAATAGGTTTGAGGGAAAAGTGGCTACTAAGTTATTCGAGTCTACCAATCACTAGCTACTAAATTAAAATTGAATTTTTCAGGACTAGTGTGTTTTTACTTTACATTGTAAACTAAACAATCAATTTGATTTCATAAATAAATTTACATATTTGATTTAACATAATTTAGCTGTTTCTAATATTAGATATATCTCTAACATTTAGTTAATCTAATATCATATTATATATCGTGATTAGCTTTCTATCATTGCTATTCATTCATGAATAATTTTTATTTAATATATTCTTAATTTATTTGTTACTTACAACACATTTTAGGTTTCTGTCATTGATAATTCTTAGTTTATAGTATTTGTTTCACGTATTCTTTATGATGTAGTTTTCTATCACTTTAATCGCCTAATAAAAGTATTTGTCTTAAAGGGACTTAATGAGGCACAAAAGAGTGAAATTGGTCGCAAAAGTCGAGAGATAACTGAAGAATTTGCCAAGTCAGCTAAGATGGCTGCTGAAGCAATTGCAAAGCAAGGTGAAGAACTCGGAAAGAGCACTCCTATGAGAGCAGTTGCAGAGGTAAATCATGAATATTATTAAAATCATATAAATGTCTGGATTAATATTTATCAAAATGTTAATAATATTCTTATATTTCTAATGTATAGAATGATTTCAATTGAAGCTTTTTGTTTCAAAATGTTATGCTATTTTCTTTTAAGAATTAGATTATTTCTTTTAAGGATTAATATTTATTAAAATGTTAATGATATTTCATTTTTCTAATGCACAAAATTTGAATGAATGATTTCAATTGATGTTTTTCAGTTTCAAAATGTTATGCTATTTTCTTTTAAGAATTAGATTATTTCTTTTAAGGATTAATATTTATTGAAATATTAATATAAATATTTTCCTTAATACTTTCCTTCCTACGACAGGGTGTAAAGACTGTCAGGGATCAAATTGAAGAAGCTCAAATTACTGGTTCTAAAGTCTATCAAGCTCCAAGTATGTTTTGTATAAATTATTAATTTTGTTGCTTTTATATTTAGAGTTTATGCTGTTTTGTAACTGTCGTTAAAATTTTTAGTAAAATTACGTAAGAGGAGTGAAAGATCTGAAATGGGTGAAGAAAGAATTATTGAACCTAACAGGTAATAGTTAATAAGTTGTTTGATTTTTTGAATTGATTAAATTACAGAAATGACCACTTTCATTTCATGTTAAGGTGTAATTTTTTTTAAAGCTAAAGTTAATTCAAGTACTGTTATTTGTATGCTTTTTAAAAAAGCTTTTGTGTGGTCATTTTCATCTTGGATTTTTTTTTTCTTTTCAGGAATAGTGAGTCTTAATGTAGTCATATAATGTAGAATTTGCCCGTTATCATATATATATATATATATATATATATTTACATAATACTGTGGAACCCCAGTTTTATGTTGTTCGTTTCATATGTTATATCTTTTCCTGCGTCATATTCTGCTGTTCGGTTAGCCAAAATTATTGTCCCTTTATCTGTGAGAGGTTCTTTCCCAATTGATACCAAATCAGAAAGGTTGTCGGGTGGGCGAAGCCCAGTGTTTGTGGCTGTAGGAAGTATTGAAGCTTAAATTGTAAAATTTGCGAGTGGAATTTTTTACAGCAAACTTCAACTTTTGAGTCTTGGTTTTTTTGCAAACTTTAACTCTTGAAATTCTCCAATCATTTCTTTTTTCCATGATGCCGGTGATCTTCAACTTCTAAAGCAAATATAAATGTTCTGTAAGCTCTGAATTTGATTTCTAAATGTTTGACAGTATCGACTAAATGCATTACAATTGAATTTAATAATGTTTATCGGAGTTAACTGCTTCTCAGTATCCAATAGACAGGGTTAGTCCTACGTCATCAACAACGTCACTAGCTCTCCTCGTTCCAAACAAAGTTTTGAACGGAGCGAACAATATGGCGTTTCTCATGTAGTTAAAAGTGGGTCAACTAAATCTTTGAATATATTAATATAGAGTCGAATTTAACCACTGACATGGCAAGAAAAAGTGTTGCATATATTAATATTACGTTAATCTCTTTTTATGATATTAATTGGAATAGCTTATTAATTGCAAATGATTATGAAAACTTTTTGTATTTATGATTGAGAGAATTTGTATTTAATATTTACCATATAAATTGTATTTATAATCTGGAGATCGGAAATTTGTGAATTTTATTATTTGGAAAAAGTTATTTCTAATTTATGTTTAATTTTTCTTAAAATATGTATATTATATTAAATCAGTTTTTTTTATAATATTGAGACAACTTATTAATTGTAAATAATTATGAGAATTTTAAAACAAATTAAAAAGTTATGTAAGAAGCATGAATAAAGTCAGATAAATTAGTGAAAATTATAAAGCATTTTAGATACACGTTTTTAAAATAGCTCAAATTAATTGGTAAATTTACTAAAATGATAGGAAGTAAAAAAAAAAANATAATATTCTTATATTTCTAATGTATAGAATTTGAATGAATGATTTCAATTGAAGCTTTTTGTTTCAAAATGCTATGCTGTTTTCTTTTAAGAATTAGATTATTTCTTTTAAGGATTAATATCTATTAAAATGTCAATAATATTTCATTTTTCTAATGTAAAAGTTTGAATGAATGATTTCAATTGATGTTTTTCAGTTTCAAAATGTTATGCTGTTTTCTTATAAGAATTAGATTATTTCTTTTAGGGATTAATATTTATTAAAATGTTAATAATATTTCATTTTTCTAATGTATAGAATTTGAATGAATGATTTCAATTGATGTTTTTCCGTTTCAAAATGTTATGCTATTTTCTTTTAAGAATTAGATTATTTCTTTTATGGATTAATATTTATTAAAATATTAATATAAATATTTTCCTTAATTCTTCCTACTACAGGGTGTAAAGACTGTCAGGGATCAAATTGAAGAAGCTCAAATTACTGGTTCTAAAGTCTATCAAGCTCCAAGTATGTTTTGTTTAAATTATTAATTTAGTTGCTTTTATATTTAGAGTTTATGCTGTTTTGTAACTGTTGTAAAAAATTTTAGTAAAATTACGTAAGAGGAGTGAAAGATCAGAAATGGGTGAAGAAAGAATTATCGAACCTAACAGGTAATAATTAATAAGTTGTTTGATTTTTTGAATTGATTAAATTACAAAAATGACCACTTTCATTTCATGTTAAGGTGTAATTTTTTTTAAGTTAAAGTTGATTCAAGTACTGTTATTTGTATGCTTTTTAAAATAGCTTTTGTGTGGTCATTTTCACCTTGGATTTTTTTTTCTTTTCAGGAATAGTGAGTCTTAATGTAGTTATATAATGTAGAATTTGCCCGTTATCATATATATGTATATATTTACATAATACTGTGGAACCCCAGTTTTATGTTCGTTTCGTATGTTATATCTCTTCCTGCGTCATATTCTGTTGTTCGGTGAAATTCGCCTCGTCTTGTTCAGTTAGCCAAAGTTAATGTCCTTTTATCTGTGAGAGGTTCTTTCCCAATTGATACCAAATCAGAAAGGTAGTCGTGTGGGCGAAGCCCAGTATGGGTGGCTGTAGGAAGTATTGAAGTTTAAATTGTGAAATTTACGAGTGGAATTTTTTACAGCAAACTTCAAATTTTGAGTCTTGGTTTTTTAGCGAACTTTAACTCTTGAAATTCTCCAATCATTTCTTTTTTCCATGATGCCGGTGACCTTCAACTTCTAAAGAAGATATAAATGTTCTGTAAGCTCTGAATTTGATTTCCACATGTTTAACAGTGTCGACTAAATGTATTACAATTGGATTTAATATAGTTTATCGGAGTTAACTGCTTCTCAGTATCCAATAGAAACATTGCCCCTTTAGAATAAAATTGCATGTCTGAAGATCTTCCAAAGCTGATGGCACACATATTGACTGCAGCACAAAACTTATTACTTTTCATTCCTTCAATATCTTATTTAATGTCTGCTCCTGATGATAGTGATGAAGATGAGCAAAAAATATCACAGGATGTACCCACAACTGATCAAGAGTTTGAAAGCATAAAAATTCTGAAACATTTGCGAATGTAAACCATAAAGACAATTTGCAAACAATAGTAAGTATTGAGAGAGATATTCCTGAAATTGTATCTTAAAACAAAAAGGTGTAAAGATTACACATTTTTTAGTAATTCATCTTGTAAGTGTCAATTTTCGAAAGATATACTCATATTCCCTCCCCCCCCCCAATTTTACGTTATCCTTCTTTATGCATTTTTTAATATCTGATGGAAAATTTTAAATCGGAGTTCCACTGTGTATATATATGCATAATTTTGTGATATTGAGTATAAATATTTAAAAATTTTAAAAATCTACTTTTTAATGTTGAAATTTATTTCATTTAAAATCAACACAATTACTTTTTTATTACTTTAAAATATAAGTTGAAACTGCAGCTATTTTGTTTTATAAAGGCTGTTGTTATTAAGACTGATACTATTTATATTTAATTATCTTTTAGTGAGGCCACTACCATAGAACTTCACAAGGACTCAAAATGGTTTCAAAGCTGGCAAAATTTTCGAGAAAATAACCAATATGTTAACAGTAAGTATAGGTAATTTTTTTGTCATTCTTTAAATGTACAATATTACAATAATTTCTGAATCTACTCAAAATCTTAATGTTGAAGAAGTTGTTAACCAATTTTAATTTTGTTTATTTTATTAAAACTGTTAAAAGGAAAACACTTCATTTTTTTTTCAAGAAATATAAAATAAATTTACGCAGATAGATTTTAAACATCGTTTTCTTTTTTCTTTAATCGATCTAACTAGCTTTTTAGTGCACTGAAGCCTTGGAGTTTAAGCCTTTCAGCACTTTCAAGCACCTTTTCTGACGGTGGATCTGTTTCTTGTAATCTTTTCTGTTTGGGCTTCCTTAAACCAGTTCTTAAAACTTTTTCCTAGTCATCATACGAAGATATGTTAAGATTTTCAATTTTACATATTTTCCAATTTTTTCAGCGCTTAGCTCTACTGAAGCATCTTGCTTTAAAATCATTTGCAAAGTTGAATAAATTATACCCTAAGATTGAGCACAATCAACTTAGTGCCATAAAATTCATTAGCTTTTGACGATCTATCTTTTCGGCAAGAGAGCTTCTTTTCCGTTTTGACATCTTTTTTTTTTTTGAGAGAAAAGCATTGACTAAGGTTTTGACAATGTGAAAAATGAATTGGTGCTCAAACAAATCCAACTGAAAGTCTGAGGGTGTTTGCTGGCATGGAAGCAGAAGTGAAACCATTTCTGAATTAGTATAATTGAAGAAACGACCGTACTCCTAGTCAAAGTGATTTTTCTCATCTGTTGATCTCGTGGAAATCTAACAGTATTGTTATTGGCAGTTGTCTCTCCTATCCTTCAACTCTTTGTCTTTTGTTGACATAGAGTGCTTGAATAATTGAAAAGCATTGACAATATACTCCTTGCTTTCTTGTTTATGGGACCCCTTTGCTGTCTTTCTTATTTGTCATAATCCCATCTCACTGATAATGAAACACTAATAGAATGCTAGAAAGGTTTCATACAGATAAGAAACAAGGTTCTCTTCATAAAAAGAACTAGAAAAAAAGTTTGTGTGTGCTTTGTACGAAATAAATGATTTTAGTGAAAACCGGAATATTTTAACATTAATACGCAATTTTCCTGGATCAGCAGAAAATGACATACGATAGGACAACTAAATTCAGGGTTCCTTTGTAACATTATTTGATTAGGAAAATCAGTATGCTATATGCAATCACAAATACTATTTGTGATTAGTATTACAATAAAATCTGTAATTTGTTTTTACAATATTTAAAAAAGTTCTTTATGTAATTATAAAATAAAGTTCTTCTATACTCTTTTATGTGAAACATTGAATAACTGTTTTATTTTTATGACAATAAGTTGATTATAAATTATTGTATGAAGTAAATATGACCGTATACTTATAGAGGTATTTGACTGGAAAATGAAATATGATGAGAGTGACAACCCTGTTGTAAGAGCATCTCGTCTTTTGACTGACAAAGTGACAGATCTTTTTGGTAATAATTTATTGTTTATTACTGTAAACTGGGCTTTCCACTTGCTATTCACCATTCAAATAGTGTTGAATTAGCAGAAGTTTAATACGCAATTTCGACCAAATAACTGGTTCTATTTGTTTGGGGATTCATCATTTTATTTATTTGTTGTATAATTTGTTATTTTTATAGCTTGTCAAATGTGAAATTGTATTTTTTTTTTTTTTTTTTTTTTNTTTTTTTTTTTTTTTTGAGAATTTTTTTTTTTGTAAATTTAATAAAATATAGGAAACTAAACTTATTTTAATTCTACAATTATATTTATTCTGATTAATTATTTCAGATATTATATTACCATCTGCAAGAAGAGATATTAGAATTTTAATTAATAAGTCATTTGACTGTAAAATTATTTTGCACTTTGACATTACTTAATTAAGCAGAATTTTATGATTATAGACTTGAACTAAGCTTGACTGTAGACTTGACTGAACCTGATATGATTGATAGACTTTGTGACTAAAACTAGAGTTAGTCATGATTTTCATTGTTTAGGTATTTTGACTAGTAACGTCAATTTATCAGCTAGTTAGCATCGTCGATGGATGGAACATTACAAGAAAATTTTCATTTAACAAAAACTTATACTTTTTATCAAGCTGATAAAATTTATTTTAAGTACAATCAACAAGTAGACAAGAAAAATAGTAAGACAAATAGTGTAAATATCAACAAAAATTTGCTTAATACTTGGAAGAAAGGAAACGTAATGTTCAATGATGTTGCAGTTTACAGCTCTGTCACCTAGCGATAAATCACATTACTATCGTAATAGGTAAAATTGAAATAATCCCTAATGCAAAGTGCAACTTAGTAAGTGACAGTAACATCAGTTGGTTTCATTAGTGCATTTGATACTCTCAATGCACGGATTGTTAAAATTTATAATTTAGGAAAAAGGATTTTGTAATTGCATAAGTTATATAATTTTTTTCTTAAATTTGGGTAGAATTCATACTATTCAATTTGAAACAAAAAATGAAATAATTTACTAAAAAAAGAAAAATTATAGGTGGGCTTTTCCAAAAAACAGAACTGTCAGAGGTTTTAACTGAAATAGTAAAGATGGATCCCAACTTTGACAAGGAGAAATTTCTTAAGGAATGTGAAGATGAAATTATACCAAATATTTTAGAAGTAAGTAACAGTTACATTGCAATTAGATTTATTAAATATTAGTGACTTTTTGAGATTTTATGAACTCAAACTAAAGCTTTAAAATTCTCAAAGATGCAGTGATCTCAGGAAAATCTATCTTATTAGTATGATGTTTAATTCTAAATATTATTTTTGTTGTCAAGTGACCTAAAACAACAGTTAACAAAAGAAACAATAGCAGTAATTTTTAAAAGTTAATTTTCTTATACATCTGCAGATTATTTTTTTCAGGTTCATTATATTAGCTTTTTTTTTCAATAGTAAGGGGTTATTCTTATTAGTAACCATAGAGATTATTTTAAATTCATTAAATTAGAAATTTTTTCCACTATTAAGGAGTTATTATCTATGCATTTAAATTACATTTGCTCTAAATTAGCAATTTTTATCACCAATTAAGGTGCTATTCTTATTTCTGCATACATATTATATTAGATACATTAAATTGGCAATTTTTCTTCACTATTAAGGAGTTATTATACACACTATACTCTTGATATCTCAGAAACCTTTTTTTGTCAAAAAAAAAGAAAAAGGTTTATGAGATATCAAAAGATCTGAGATATTTGTCAAAAAAATATTTCCCCCCATGGCATTTACCTAATGTTAATTTGAATTCCAATGTCCAAGAGTTTCTTCTCAAAACTTTGTTATTTCGAATTATTTTTCGAAAAAGAAATTGAATTTTTTTCGGAAAAATCAAAATGTAAGATTATTGTAAACGAATTCTTATCTATTTAATGCATAACTATTTTTATCTTATTTTTAAAAATGAAATTATCATTGTTGTATTTAAACTTATAGTCAACTATTATTACTTATTTGATAGTAGTTATTCTTATGTTTCATGATTCTACTTTTTAGAGTATTTAGAATATATTTTTCTATTTTTTAGAATATATTCAGTCCTGAACTTGTTATCTCAAAAACTCGATGTCTCAAAACTTTTTTAGTGGCCCTTCAACTTTGAGATAACGAGAGTATACTGTAATATAATGTTGAATCTTTGGGATTGGATATTTCAAATTCATGTTTTTCCCTATTACTATAGCAGCAAATAAATTGCTAAGTTAACTGGAAAATTTTTTTTATTAGGAATTTCAGAAAGCTCTTTAAAGTATTCAAAAAACTTAAACAATCAACATAAATTAAAACATTTTTATTGTTTTACATAAATTTGGTGCTAGCATATATGTATTCGTCTAGAAAATGATCAGTAGGTTATTAAAAATCCTTATTATAAATAAACATTGGGCACTTGTTGATTGTAATTTAATTTAATTTTTTTACTTCATTATACTTCTTGCACTAAAGTGCAAGTGTGTTAAGCAAAAGCATTAAAGTACCTTTGTTTAAAGTACAGAAAGCCTTTTAAAATATTCTAAAAATTTAAACAATCAACATAAATTAAAACTTTTTAATGTTTTACATAAATTTGACCCTGGCATAAATGTACAATGTATTATTTTAGGAAATGATCAGAAAGATATTAAAAATCCTCATTGTAAATAAACATTGGACTCTTATTCATTCTAATTTAATTAACTGTTTTACTTTGTTGTGCTTTTTGCACTAAAGTGCAATTTATTATTTTAGGCAATGATACGAGGAGATTTAGAAATTTTGAAGGATTGGTGCTATGAAGGAGTAAGTAAGCTTACATTAAAGTGTTTATTTATGTCTATTATTCTGTTTATACTGTTATAACAGAATGATTCTCTTTAATAGCCATTTAATGTGTTAGCAACACCTATCAAAACAGCCCAAAGCTTAGGATACCATTTTGATTCAAAAGTTCTTGATGTAATGAATGTGGATGTGAGTAAAAGTCATATATTTCTTAATTCTGAGACAATAATATTTATTTGACATTGAATTATTTTTTTTAATTATTATATTATCATATATTTCTTAATTCTCAGACTAGTAAAATTTATTTAATGTGAAATAATTTATTTTTAGATGATTATTTATATTGAAAATTTTCATCTTCTTTATAAAGATTTTTTTTTATGCTTTGAAAAAATAAATCGCTAAATTTAATGTTCAAAGAATTAAATGTTTTTAAAATTGCCTTAAAAATATTTATGAAGTTCAAGAGCAGATCAATCATATTAGCCTAGTTTAAGAAGCAAAGATCACGCAAGAGACTTTAACTCAGTGCGAAAAAAATGCGATCATTTGCAATTGCTTGTTGCTGTCCTTGGTGTTTTAGTTTGTTCCATTAATCATCTAACTGTTTTTGGTCAAAAAATTAATAAGTAAATAAACATAATTTAACTATTTAAATCTTTTAAAATAATGTTCACACTCATGCTGTGTTTTAAATCAAGGGTCTGTCTAGGTTTTTCCGAGAGGTACCTATTTTGTGAAAATAAAAAATTATATTAAAAAATCAACACAAAAATATGGATTTATCGTTTCAAACAGGATACAAAAATAAAATTTCAAGGAAAAGTAGTATGTGAAATACCATTGAATTTGTTAAATTGAATTTGTGAAAGTACCGCTAAACGGCAGTAAATTTGGCCTGGATAGACCCCTGTAAATGATTGTCTAGAATGATAATTTGATTTATTTTTGCCAATGATGAATCAGTAAAAGGTCTGAGATGACAGGTGATCCTACTATTTCATTACCTTATCAGAGCTGCTAGCTTCTAACCCATGCACATTTGAGTTGTCATGTCATGGTAAATACTTGCTAGCAGACACATTAATTCACAATAAAATTTAGTTTTAAATAAAAATATTTTAGAATTGAACTTATGTTTGTGAGAACACATCTTCTTAAAAATTCTGATGGGGAAATGTTATTGGTAGGTTGTTATCAGTGACAAAAATGGTTATCTGAGGCTCAGAAATTCTTACTTGCTTTGTTTTACTTTTGCTTTTTTTAAAAAAATCTTATTTACTAATTTTTTTAATTAAGTTGTTAGTTATCGGAATTGATTTTTCTGTTGTTTATCAATGATATAACACTTTTTTAAAAATATTTTTAACCTTTCCTTCCCTTTTTTGCATTTCTCAATATCCATCCTTCTTTTTCTCACACTATACTACATAAACATATCTTAGCAGATCAGAAACAAGACGCTGTTATATTTTATTCTTCAAATTTTATTTTTGAATTTAAACTGTGCATTATACTGTCATTAGTGAGCATAAAAATAATGACTTAATTTGTTGATTATGTATAATTATTTTGATAAGGAAATATAAAAATAATAAAATTATAGAAATATTAAATCTGGTGATTTTAAATGTTTTTATAATAATAAAAATGTGTAATGTCTCATCTCTTGGTGCCCTCTCTCTCCCTTGTCCCAAAACTGTCCCAATTATGAGGAATTCCCTCCTTCCTCTCTAAGCGTGTGTTTATTGGTGTACGACCTCTACCTTTACAGCAAAATAACTTGGGCCCTCATCGAACCAATATTTATTAATCTTGAAAAAGCCGTTATTTTTTTTGACATGGGCTTTATATAGAATTGTTAAATTTACCTAATGTTTGGTATCCATTATTCAGCCAATATTATCCCTACCGTATATTCCGGCGTATAACGCGCAAAAAAAAGTTATTAGAAATTATGAGTGCGCGTTATACGTCGGGGCGCGTCATGCGCCGCAATATACGGTATATAGAATTGTCCATTTCATCCAATATTTTACAGCCACTTTTCAACCAATATCGTCTGTTAATAAAATTGTTAACGCTCAATATTAACAGCCAGTCTAAGACCAATATTAAAAAATCTAGGTATCCCAATATTGATCCTTCGGTGCATGTTCTTATAGGACCTATATTGAGCCAAATTGAGGCCAAGGTAAAAATTGTTGCTAGGGTAACTGAAATTCAAAGTGGCTTGTTATTTAAGTTGCATTTTTTACTATTGAGAGTCATCTATAAAAAGGAAAAAAAAAAGCACACAAAAGAAATCACATGCTTAAATGAAAATATTTTGGCCAATTGCATTTTTTTGTTTGACATTGTTAATGCTCATGTATTCAATTATGGGTCAGTTTACTACATGTTGGTTTGTTCTGATTTCATGCTTTAAGTGTTATAATTTTTTAATTTTACCATATCATTGCATGTCACTTAGGACTAATGATGGTTTAAGACCCCTAAAACACAACTCAGGCCACCACGAAATAATAATTGGTCGTTAACCAGATCAGTTATTATTGTCAATGAAGTGTAAAGGAATGGATTACTGATTCATATTTTTGTGATTCATATTGTGTGATTTCATTTTGTGAGTCATATTTGTGGTTCACATTATGCATCAGTAAATTAAATCTTGACTTCCAGACTTCTAATGCATTGCCAGTTTTGATGCTGAAAGGTAATAATGTTGCAAAAAAAAAAAAAAAAGACTTTCAAATGATTGTAATAAGATTAAGAGGGACATGTAAACAGACTAGTAAAAGTGGATGTACACTAATGACACTTTTAAATTAATAGTTCTCTAGTCAACAACTAATTTCTCTTGGTTTTTATACCTATACTTGATAACTGAAAATTTTGCTCTGAATAATTCAAGCCTTTGTAAGAAGTTATTGATTATTTGAAGAAATTTATGTTACTCTTTGTAAGTTTATTAACAATGTGTTGAAAAACCCTAGCCCGTTCCTTTGATCATGTGACTGTGTGAAGTAAAAATATTCATTCAAATCAACATTTCAAATATTATTCAAATATTTATATTCAATTATTTATATTCAATT